ACCAAGTAAACTAAACATTGACCAATGAACCATGAAAATGAGGTCAAGGTCAGATGAACCATGCTAGGCAGGCATGTACAGCTAACAATTCTTCCATACAACAAATATAGTTGACCTATTGCTTATAGTTTAAGAAAAACAGACCAAAACACAAAAACTTAACACTGAGCAATGAACCTTGAAAATGAGGTCAAGGTCAAATAAAACCTGCGTGACTGCCAAATAGATCATAAAATATTTCCATACACCAAATATAGTTGAACTATTGCATATAGTATTAGAAAAAAAGACCAAAACTCAAAAAACTTAACTTTGACCACTGAACCATGAAAATGAGGTCATGGTCAGATGACACCTGCCCGCTAGACATGTACACCTTACAATCATTCCATACACCAAATATAGTAGACCTATGGCATACAGTATAAGAAAAACAGGCCAAAACACAAAAACTTAACTATAACCACTGAACCATGAAAATGAGGTCAAGGTCAGATGACACCTGCCAGTTGGACATGTACACCTTACAGTCCTTCCATACACCGAATATACAAGACCTATTGCTTATAGTATCTGAGATATGGACTTGACCACCAAAACTTAACCTTGTTCACTGATCCATAAAATGAGGTCGGGGTCAAGTGAAAATTGTCTGACGGGCATGAGGACCTTGCAAGGTACGCACATACCAAATATAGTTGAACTATTGCATATAGTATTAGAAAAAAAAACCAAAACTCAAAAACTTAACTTTGACCACTGAACCATGAAAATGAGGTCAAGGTCAGATGACACCTGCCCGCTAGACATGTTCACCTTACAATCATTCCATACACCAAATAAAGTAGACCTATGGCATACAGTATAAGAAAAACAGACCAAAACACAAAAACTTAACTATAACCACTGAACCATGAAAATGAGGTCAAGGTCAGATGACACCTGCCAGTTGGACATGTACACCTTACAGTCCTTCCATACACCGAATATACAAGACCTATTGCTTATAGTATCTGAGATATGGACTTGACCACCAAAACTTAACCTTGTTCACTGATCCATAAAATGAGGTCGGGGTCAAGTGAAAACTGTCTGACGGGCATGAGGACCTTGCAAGGTACGCACATACCAAATATAGTTGAACTATTGCATATATTATTAGAAAAAAAGACCAAAACTCAAAAAACTTAACTTTGACCACTGAACCATGAAAATGAGGTCATGGTCAGATGACACCTGCCCGCTAGACATGTACACCTTACAATCATTCCATACACCAAATATAGTAGACCTATGGCATACAGTATAAGAAAAACAGGCCAAAACACAAAAACTTAACTATAACCACTGAACCATGAAAATGAGGTCAAGGTCAGATGACACCTGCCAGTTGGACATGTACACCTTACAGTCCTTCCATACACCGAATATACAAGACCTATTGCTTATAGTATCTGAGATATGGACTTGACCACCAAAACTTAACCTTGTTCACTGATCCATAAAATGAGGTCGGGGTCAAGTGAAAACTGTCTGACGGGCATGAGGACCTTGCAAGGTACGCACATACCAAATATAGTTGAACTATTGCATATAGTATTAGAAAAAAAAACCAAAACTCAAAAACTTAACTTTGACCACTGAACCATGAAAATGAGGTCAAGGTCAGATGACACCTGCCCGCTAGACATGTTCACCTTACAATCATTCCATACACCAAATAAAGTAGACCTATGGCATACAGTATAAGAAAAACAGACCAAAACACAAAAACTTAACTATAACCACTGAACCATGAAAATGAGGTCAAGGTCAGATGACACCTGCCAGTTGGACATGTACACCTTACAGTCCTTCCATACACCGAATATACAAGACCTATTGCTTATAGTATCTGAGATATGGACTTGACCACCAAAACTTAACCTTGTTCACTGATCCATAAAATGAGGTCTTGGTCAAGTGAAAACTGTCTGACGGGCATGAGGACCTTGCAAGGTACGCACATACCAAATATAGTTGAACTATTGCATATATTATTAGAAAAAAAGACCAAAACTCAAAAAACTTAACTTTGACCACTGAACCATGAAAATGAGGTCATGGTCAGATGACACCTGCCCGCTAGACATGTACACCTTACAATCATTCCATACACCAAATATAGTAGACCTATGGCATACAGTATAAGAAAAACAGGCCAAAACACAAAAACTTAACTATAACCACTGAACCATGAAAATGAGGTCAAGGTCAGATGACACCTGCCAGTTGGACATGTACACCTTACAGTCCTTCCATACACCGAATATACAAGACCTATTGCTTATAGTATCTGAGATATGGACTTGACCACCAAAACTTAACCTTGTTCACTGATCCATAAAATGAGGTCGGGGTCAAGTGAAAACTGTCTGACGGGCATGAGGACCTTGCAAGGTACGCACATACCAAATATAGTTGAACTATTGCATATAGTATTAGAAAAAAAGACCAAAACTCAAAAACTTAACTTTGACCACTGAACCATGAAAATGAGGTCAAGGTCAGATGACACCTGCCCGCTAGACATGTTCACCTAACAATCATTCCATACACCAAATAAAGTAGACCTATGACATACAGTATAAGAAAAACAGACCAAAACACAAAAACTTAACTATAACCACTGAACCATGAAAATGAGGTCAAGGTCAGATGACACCTGCCAGTTGGACATGTACACCTTACAGTCCTTCCATACACCGAATTTACAAGACCTATTGCTTATAGTATCTGAGATATGGACTTGACCACCAAAACTTAACCTTGTTCACTGATCCATGAAATGAGGTTGAGGTCAAGTGAAAACTGTCTGACGGGCATGAAGACCTTGCAAGGTACGCACATACCAAATATAGTTATCCTATTACTTATAATAAGACAGAATCTAACATTACAAAAAATCTGAACTTTTTTTTCAAGTAGTCACTGAACCATGAAAATGAGGTCAAGGACATTGGACATGTGACTGTCGGAAACTTCGTAACATGAGGCATCCATATACAAAGTATGAAGCATCCAGACCTTCCACCTTCTAAATTATAAAGCTTTTAAGAAGTTAGCTAACGCCGCCGCTGCCGCCGCCGCCGTAGCCACCGCCGCCGCCGCCGGATCACTATCCCTATGTCGAGCTTTCTGCGACAAAAGTCGCAGGCTCGACAAAAACTGTAAATTTAGCATCGATCATTATCATCCTTCCAAGGATAAAAGTTTAAAGTTTATGTCTAGAAATAATCTTTGGATATTCTATGTACATTAGTGAAGGGTGAAAACCTGTTACCATTATCTCACTGATGCATGTTACATTTATATAGACAGTTGGTTTTCTCTTTTGAATTGTTGCATGTTTTGTCATGAAGGGACAGTTAAAAGTGCTCGTATGTTCAAAACCGAGAATCAGAACAGCTTAGAACTGTATAGTTTGCTTAAAAATGACCTGATGACCTGAGACAATTTTTAAACATGACCTTGTGATCAAAGAGAGGTACTCTACTGGAGCCCATATCAGGTAATATTGGGTTGCTCTGCACTGTAGGAGTTGTATTCACCTTATTGCCAATAGGCATGAAGAACTGTTACTCTAACAAAATATGATTGAATGAAATATGACAGGATAACATGATAATCAACAGCATGTCAGTCCAATCTACTTACCAAATATGAAAGCAATCAGACCAGCAGTCTACGAGCATGAAGAGGGGTTACATTTACAATGAGAACAGACAGACAGACTGATTGAAGCAGGCCTTAACTATATATAAAAATAAGAAGATGTGGTATGATTGCCAATGATACAACTCTCCAACAGAAACCAAATGATATAGAAGTTTACAACTACAGGTCACCGTATGGCCTTCAACAATGAGCAAATATGTACTGTCTTTTACCTCTTTTAACAGAGGACAAATCTTTTATGTCAAGATAATTTGATAACTGTCAACAAAATCAATATCAAAGGAAATGGGTTCATAGCTTAAAACATATCCATTTAGCATCCTGTCCTTTATGAATATCAGTCACTCTTTTTGTTCTACAAAAATGTCTGTCTGGTCCATGTTCACAAATGTTGACTGTATGTGTAATAACAATGCCCCACAGGGTTAGACATTTGTTCTTATTTTCAAGTACTAAATACTATTGTTAGATTGCAGTACAAAATGAATACAGAATGAGATTGTTTATGCAATTCTGATAGAAATCATGTACTTAAAGTTCAGAAATACAACTTATTTATAAATTGTAAGAATTTTTAATGAGCTTTAGTAGCATAATTTTAGGATTTCACCACCAAAATCAGGAAAGTCTAAATAAAAAAAAAGGAAAAAAAGAAGGTAAATGACCTGAGAACACAGTTATTTCGTAGTGCATTTCTTTTAGACAATAAATTAAAATAAAAAAAATTGCACCTGCTCTATCTAAAAAAGATTTTTTACAGTGTAGTTTACTACCTTTGGGATAAATAATATCAAAATTATAGAAAACTCTACCAGCTCTAACTCAAAATATGGACAATTCTATGTTGATGGGGGTCTATAATTTAGTTTGACAGCTTCAGGCATACTAATTTTTTACCTTTTTTAACTGGACCAAATCACTACTTTACGTAAAAATTCATCACCCAAATTTTTTTAACATGTAATTTCATCCCCTTACTTAACATTTCATGCATAAAATATAAAGAAATAAATTTGGAAAGTGTATGAAAATATTTGCAAGTTATACACTGTCCACACTAGGGACTATATTCATAGACAACGAAAATCAAATGACGATAACTGTGTCCTCGACCCATATAGGACCAGTGAAAAGTCTGATGACCCTCTGCATTAATAAATCTAATAATGTGCTCTTCATAAGATAAAAAACCAAATATACAGTAACTAAAAGTATTCCAAAATCAGTGTTTTCCAGCAAGTTCTGGGTGTAGGATTTACAATAACAATTATCAAATATCTTACCCCTCCAGGTAAATTACAATCTGCCTTTCTGTTGAGTAATAATTTAACAATGTCATCCTTGGCAAAGGAAGCTGCATAGTGTAAACATGTTCTCCCATCCTAGAAAACAAATTGAAAGATAAGTTATTTCCTTATTTCTATTGTTTAAAATTTTAAAAGAAGAGAGAAACTAGAATCAGCTTATCTATCAATCACGCTTACAAAACTCTATCCCCACTGCAAGAAAACAACAGTAAAATATCAGATAAAGAAGGGACATAACTCTTGAAAAGTTGAGGTAAAATCAAACACCAGTCTGCAAATGTCTTTTTTTTTTTTGGTGTTATTTGGTTACTGTAACATTGGCATTTAATCTCCATTTATTCATACACAACATAACCACATTTTGTAAACATTTCTAAAATTTTGGTCCAGCAATAAGCTCAGTGTACAATCTACCAAATAACTGAAAATATTTTAATAATTAAATTATCATTTAAAATCGAATTTAAGTTTGATATTATTAATAATAGAATGAAGAGGATTTACTAATCAAATAACAGGCTTGCTTAATTAAAAAAATGAACAAATACAACACAAATATTGTTAAAATTTCTATAATTTTTTATATGAGTAATAAAACTCTGAGAACAATTGCACCTGTCAACTAAGTATGTAAATATTAAATCACAGTAATAGTGAATGTGTTTGTCATATTTTCAGATTTTGTTGACTTAATATGAAGGAAATATAAAACAGAAATAATATTATATTTTACAGTTGCAATGCTTCATGCTGCTGTTATCACTTTGACTGTGTTTTATAATGATCACAGTCTCCATATTTTGTAAATAATTCATTAACAACCTGCATTTAATCGAGATTTAGCAGTGGGATTGTAATAAGGTTATAGGACTTTAATAATTAATGTCAATGATAATAGTCACTTTGGAAATCAACAAAAGCATTTTAAATTAGCAGGAAACAATAAATATATATGAGTAATAATACCAGAAATAGAAGTTTCACAAATGATATCAATACATGCTTTTAATACTCCTACTGAATTCCTGTTTTCATATATTATTATAAATAAAAATACAGATAGTTAGGTGTGCTTAATATCTTGACTTGTGAGGATCTGTTGTGAAATGTATTCAATTTTCCAATTGTAAACGTTTCATATTTCTATAGCAACATTTCATCTGCATGCACCTTTAATGCATAGGGAGTTTATACCTCCGAGTTGATTCAATATTCAAGAGCCTGTCTTTCCTATCATGATTTACTTTACAGAGGTTGCTGCCAAAAAGGAAGCTATTGAACCAAATTGAAGTCGTCTCTCTTATTTTATAGCTACCATCGTGATTTAAATTGCTTGATCATTGTTGTCAATATCTGAGTCAACCTTACTATTAGATAACCACAGATGTGTTCTATTTATTAATAAATGGAAAATGTGTCCCCATGGACACAGATGATGCCCCCGCTTGCATACAACATTATAAAGGGACATAACTCAAAAACAATAAAAGTGACGCTACCCAAATTTGTACTAGATCTGAGTTTTGTGGTAATAAGTATTGTGTATAGGTTTCATAATGTTTGGTTGGGGCAAACTTAAGTTACAGAACGGAAACTAAAAATTTTGCAATTTTCGGTTTATAAAGGGGCATAACTCAAGAATGGTTAACGTGACCCCACCAAAATTCAACTTGAACTGTGTTTTGTGGTAATGAGCATTGTGTATAAGTTTCATAACATTTGGTTGAGGCAACTTAAGTTAGAGAACGGAAACTAAAAATTTTGTAATTTTTTCATTTATAAAGGGACATAACTCTAGAACAGTTAGAGTGACGCTATCGGAAAATTTAAACTTGATCTGTATTATGTGGTAATAAGCATTGTGTATAAGTTTCATAACATTTGGCTGAGGCAAACTTTAGTTAGAGAACGGAAACTAAGAATTTTGGAATTTTTCCATTAATAAAGGGGCATAACTCTAGAACGGTTAAAGTGACGCTACCAAAATTCAAACTTGATCTGTATTTTGTGGTAATAAGCATTTTGTATAAGTTTCATAACATTTGGTTAAGGCAAACTCAAGTTAGAGAACAGAAACCAATTTTGGGACGTACGGATGTACGTACGTACAGACGGACAAGGGTAAAACTTAATGCCCCCGCCGTAATAAAAACACAATCCAAATCCTTTCCTCATTTATGACATACCAAATTTAACCCATCACCAGATGTATTGCATTATGCCAGGAGCAACATGAAAGGTGCTACTAGAGGAGCAGCACCTAATACTAGCCTGGAGCATCGGACTTCATACCTGGTTTTTGGTAGGGTTCATTTTACCCCAATCTTAAGTTTTCTGTGTGATGTTTTTTTTTGGATAATTGATTGTGTTTTGGTCCTTTTTATTTTGGCCATGGTGTTGTCCCTCTTCTGTCATTTTTATTCCTCTCTCTCTCTCTCTCCGCCCCCCCCCCCCCCCCCCCCCCTAAATGCAATTCCAGAAAATGCTGCAAGCAAATAATGCTTTCAAACTTTAAAATGCGAATTTTTACATTTGCAAATGTTATCCCATTGCAATTTTCACAATAATAAAACTTTTTTTGTGTTTATAATTGAATATATATATATTCACAAGAGAGCAATAATCTTTACTTAAATTGCATGTGTACGTCCTAATCAATGAAATATCATATAAGCTAATATTGATTTTATTTTCCTCCAAAGTTTCCAATATATGTACTAGTATATTAACATTGATTTATTTTTTAAGTCCTTTCAGCTGCACATCTCGTATTGTTTATTTTTAATGACTAGCGAATATTAGAAGTGCACAGCTACACTCTACAAAATTTTTGAAGTTAGCAAAGATAGTTCCCCTCTGATATCAAATATCTGACTGATAGAAAACATTTACAATTTCTTCAATAAAATTTGCCAGACTGTCAGAATCAAAAGTCACATTTAGATTGACATCAACAACATTATAGAGGTATTGCACATTTCCAATAAGCATGCTGTTTTCATGACTACAAACATGTTTTTAATAATAAACTCGTCATCACTGGTCAACTCCTTTATATGTGTGTTAAATAGTGGTTAAAATTGGTTTCAGTAAGTTTAGTCCTAAAAATGATCCAATGGTCATTTTAATAAAAATTTGAAGGAAATATTTAGAAAAGCTTTAAATTAATTAGCCTAATAGTTTCATACAACATACAAATAACCTACTGTGGATTCATTTATTTTTGTGGGTACCAATTTTCGTGGATTAAGGAAAAATTGTAATTTCGTGAATATTTGATTTTGTAGTTTTACAAAATTTGCATACAAGCTTATAGAAAATTTGTTCTTCGTTGAACATTTAAGTTTGAGGTATATTAGTATACATGAAATCCATGAAAAATTGGTGTTCCACAAATAATAATGAATTGTGAAAAATGAAATACAGTAATAGATGCAACAGATAGATATAGCTCTAAACTTTTCTGTTCTCTTTGCCAGGTGAACTATAAATAATCTTTTTTTTTTTCTTTAAAAGAGTTCATTGTTAACCATCAATCGTAAGTGCAGATAACTTTAGCAAATGTTTTCTCTTCAAATATTTTTAAATACAATTCGGTTTACAACCAAACTTGTACAATTGTGACCTAATTTTCTTGCAACCTTTCAGTTCTGTTTTAATGTTATGAAAAAATGTTAAAAAAAGAAACGTTGTTGAGAAACTTGTGTAAATCAAATTTAAAGTCCCATAAATCAAATTGCTTCTCATAAACAACATTTCTTTCACTACTAAAAAATATTAAAAGTGCTAAAATTCAAACTGACCACTTGCAAGAAAATTAGTTAATACTTGTATAGGTTTGTAAAAGCATCTATATTTTTTAATATTTATTGGTTTATGTATTCCAACAAAAAATGATTACATATTGTACTCATCAAACTGATTTTGCTTAAAAAAAAAAGAAAAAAGATTAGCAGTTGCATATATCATCCAACAATCGAATCAAATCTTCATCAAATCAAAAGCAATGAAAATGTCATGTGATTTTTAAATATTCTGTCACGGAATAAAATCATGAATACCTTGTTTTTATTATCATTGGTCGAAGAATTTCTTAAACATTTGTTTATTTAATGTTTGAGGAGAGGGAGTCAAATGGGAATACATATAACTATTTATTGATAGTATTTGTAAAAGCCATTCAGTAAACATGCGAGATGTAAGGCTTTCATCTAATGTATGATTAGACCTTATACAAGGGCCAGATACTTTTATTTAATATTTCTATACAACCAAAACTCCAATTTAATTAAATAATGTTCACAAAAGTTAATTTGATTAAATCGTAACTAATGACCGTGTAATTTAATATTGAAACTAAAAAATCATGCCACTTTCTCCTATGATTACATCCCAGCAGATTTACACCTAACTACCAGTTATGATTTATTATAGAATTTCTGTCTTGTAAATAACATATTAATAAATATCATTTATCTCTTCCATACAAAAGCTTTATTAAAACTGTTTTTTATTGCCTTCAACAACTGATAATACAATTGGCCTTGGAAATGGAACTTGACAATCTTAATTAAAAGATAATTTAATCTGTTGTGCACAAAATTTGCATGGTGACATAAACAGCTGGTTATAGTATTTTGATTTGCATGGTAAATAGCAGTAACTAACCCTCATGCATTAAAACGTTTTCTGACAAATGAATTATTTCTAACAAATGTCAGTAACAAGAACATTGATTTTGTACAAAACATTTTGATGTCAATGTCTTTAATTTCAAATTCATAAATTATATGAAACCAAAAAAATCAACTTAAATATCTCAAAATATTTTGGTCTGAGAAATTTCAGTACTTGTTCTATAACTTCAGAATAAACTCATCATAGATACCAGGATTAAAATTATGCATGCTGATGCATGTTTTGTCTACAAAAGACTCATTAGTGATTCTCGAATCAAAAAATTTTGTACGGCCAATTAAAGTACTCAGTTGAATAACAGAAGTGTCTCGGAAGATGAAATGTCAAGTGTAATTTTAATTTAATGCATAATCTATTGTATATTTGAAATATAAATG